AAAAAAATATTCGTCGTAAAGAAAATGCAAAAACAGTGAATTAATCGAAATTGTGAAAGTACCACACTGTTAGAAATTTCTCGAAAAAAATAGCTAAATAACAATCTATTTAATTGTTATTTTACGACATTTAAATGAAACAGTCAAATAACTATAAACAATATGGTAATGAAACAGTGAGAAAAATCAAATATTTTTACATAAAACGGTATAAATAAAAAGAATTTTATCGCTCTAACTAAGCTCACTTAATGAAGCTACTCATTGCATATTAGAGCCGAGAATCTGCCAATCCGACGACAGAAATGGGGGATCCAGCGTTGACACCTCCATTGCACATTATCTACCCAGAAGCCTCTCCGGTTTTGAAACCATGGTTGCTGTAAATGGTTAAAATACCGTATAGATTTGTATTCATGTTTTTATAACCATACTAACTGTAAATGGTTTTTAAAATCGTAAAGGAGAAAAATATTCTTCACCGTAAACTTTACTGTTAATCGAATAGAGAGACTGCTGCCTGTTATTTTACCATAATTTTAGAATGAAAATTCTAACAGTGCACCTGCCAGACAAATTATTTCACGAAGTATAATAAATGTAAGAATTTAAATACGAAGATAGTTTCATAATATTAAGAGTAGAATTAATTTAAAACTTAGCTTTAATATACACTGTATTTATGGCTTTAATTTTTCCTTATTATTTGAAACTTAATTAACTTTCAAATATAGGATTTCTTAGAGGATTCACATCTGACATTGAGAATTCAAAATTTATATTTAATATTTTTGGTTGCATTTATATTTGTTAATAAGTAAATTGTTATTTTACCAATTCTTTACATATTTAAGTATTACTATACTCTTTAATATAAAATAGTTATGATTTTAAGAAATTCGTTTCTTTTCCATAATTTTTTTCTGCCTTTTTAGTTTTTACTTACTTAAAAAATAATACAAAAAATAGCTCAAAAATTAATATTTTAATTGCATTGCAAATATAAACTATTTAAAACTTATTTTTGAAAAAATTTATTTTATAATTATAACTAATAATAATAAATTTCACAAAAAATAACTTACCTAATTTCTCGAGAGACGATGTCATTAAAAGTTAAACAAGAAATTGAAGGTAAAGAAAAGAACGTTATTTAAGTTCTGTGATATTTCTCTTTTTAAAAGGAGTATCTTAAAAAGCGTGGATTGAATTAGTTTAATTTAAATGTGCATTCAATTCTTAAAAAAAAATCTTTCTTACTTCCCTGAAACAAAGACCCAATACAAAAACCAAATAATAAAAAAAATGGAATGAGAAATGATGCAATTCAACTATAATATTTAAATTAGTTAAAAGTTTAATTTGGAATTATATTTTACTGAATTCATTTTATTTTGGAACTGTATTTATTGAAAATAATGTTGTTTCCTGAACATTATGAACGGTGCCTCGCTTTTAGCGAAGTGCTTTGGTGGAATTTATAAATGTCAAACGATTTCAACATTAGCGATTACGATTAACATTACGATTTAAACATTAGCGAAATGAAAGGTTTAGAAATCCAGGAAACTATTGGGGCCCCCATTAATATTCAAATTTACACGCTGTTCATTTACAAAATATTTTTAATCTTTTTATAACATAAGTAAATTATAATATTTTTGTAAAATTTGGTTACTCATGCTAAAAATATATTTCGTATAATATTATTTATAAAAGGCATTCTATGAATAATGGATTCATTTAACTCAAATGTCATTTAAATGACGTAAAAAGAATATGAAATGGTTGAAAATAACTCTATAGTATAATTGAAATAAATTCCCTCAAAGGATGACTATTATGAATCAAATTCGAGTAAAAATCATTCACTCAAATGATGTTTAGTATATAATGTTAATGATTGAATAACATCATAGACTATTGACTCAAATGATGTTGATTTTTAACCTGATCCAGAAGACAAGGGAACTCCTGTATCAAGTATTGGGAGAAATTTGTCTTCGCGGAGGACTTTTTGTTGGAGCTAATCCACATGTGTGCTACATGGTGAGAAAAACCACGAAAACATCTACCACTTAGGATATTTTTGCTTTGGCACTGTGGTTGGTGCAAGCCGGAATTCGCATCGATCTGGGAACCGGTTCGCCTCATTGGAAGCAAATAATGTTTGTGAAATTGCTGTTCTCAATGCTTATTCTTTTTTAGTAATAATTTGTCACCTTAAATACATATTGCAAATTCACCATTGCGTTGAATTCTTTTTCTAGGAATGTCAATTTAAATACGCACTGCAAATTCATCATTGGATTGACTTCTTTTTCTAGGAATATTTTGACACCTTAAATATGCATTGCTACAACATTGTGCTTACTGCATTAGAGTCTCTGAAATAAAAGAAACATGAATGTTCTGATTGCTACGATGTTTGTTTTGCTTTCAGTTAAAGCGTAATGGAATAATTCATCTTTTTGTTTATGGCTGTGAAAATAGAATAATCTGTAATTCAATGTTACACTAGATTGTCATTGTAATAATAAAGAGGAAACATTTCTTAATAACTCAATTTAAAAAAAAAATTATTTATTTTGAAACGACTTCTAGCGCTGTAATCAAACTTAACGATTGAAATAAGGCAACACTCAGCTGATCTTAAAAATTAATATAACAATCAAGCACACATTTTTTGGAAAAGTTTCTTTTGCTCATTATACGGCTTTGGGGGGGGGATTAGGCGGTTCTTCAATTCTTCATTTTGCAGAATTTAAAAAAAAAAAAGAAATTGAATTGCTTTAAGCAGGGGGTACATTTTAGAGTGAGAAACTACGCTCAATTGTTACCGCATCACTTGAAATGATTTTGGTCAAAACGGCAATATTTATGTTGCAGCAGTTAAATTGCTAAAGCTTAACTATTAGCGATCTACATTGTTAGAAATTTCTCGGAAAAAATTTCTAAATAACAGTCTATTTAATTATTATATTACCATATTTAAACAAAGCAGACAAATAACCATAACTAAGATGGTAATGAAACTATTTACCGTGAGAAAAATCATTTATTAACCATTTTTCACCTAAAATGGTTAAGTAACAAGAATTTTATTGCACCCACTAAGCCCACCTAATGAAGTCACTTAGTCCCTTGCAACTGCGTACATATAGCTGAGAGAGCTATTCTGTCTATCTCATGAGCTATGAATAGGGATTCGGTCTTAGCGTTGACGTCTTCATTCCCTTTAGAACACGAGAAGAATTTCCAGTGCCTAGCCTTCTACAATGCCCATTATCTAACGAGAAGCCTTGTTTCTCTGTCCAGTTAAGTCTTTAAATAAAATAGTCTTTAAATAAAAAAAGATGACACATAAGAGCTTAAACTTGCTGTAATTCTCGAAAAAAATTCTAATTATTCACAAACGCATGTTAAGTTCATAAATAAAAATGACGCTTTCAACACGTCAAATTTCAATTCTGTAGCTGCATTTCTGCCGGCTACAGAGTGTCCCGCAATTACATCGGCCTCCCTCAACACTTTTTACAACCCTCCGTTATTTTATGCTTCTAAGTGTTACAGCTGTGTGAAAGAAAACAAAATGAGAAGCAAAAAAAAAAAAAAAAAAAAAAAAAAAAAAAAAAAAAGGGCAAATATTGCTAAAAAAAGCAATAACTTTCAAAAATGATGGAAATGTAAAAAGTGTAACGTTATTGTACCGTAATAAAATGCAACGTACACCCCCAAAAAAGCGGCGCTTTGCGGAGAGATATTAAATTAAACTCTACTTTAGGTGTTTTTAATTTTTTTCACGAATTTTAATTTTTAGTTTTACTTTTTTTTAAAATTGGTTCCAATCAGCTGAAGAATTAATACTATTTAAACTAGATAATAAATAGAATCTGCCTAAAAATTATTTTAATTTTTGATGTTTCCTTTTTTAAAAAAAGTTATTTTTTCTACTTGGATGAAGAAGAAAAATTATTTTTGTCTAATTTTTCGAATGTTTTTTTATTTGTTGGAGAAATTTACCTGGCTTTGTTGTAAAAACTGTTCAATTACACCCATTTATTTAATAAAATTGGTATTTCTTAGTAAAACAACATAACATTTATCAATATAACTGAATATATTTTTTCTAGTCATTGTTTTTAGTTTTACATTGTTTAGAACAACAATTATATAAATCTCCCTTACTGGATTAAACTAGTCTCCCTTGTTAGATTAAAATTTCTTTTTAACTAAAATTTCGTTTAATTGCGATAAAACTGTGTTAAACGTCGTAACTTTTAGTGTCTATCAATTTGATATAAATTTGGAAAGCAACATTTTAAATTTTTGAATAATGTTTCTGTAATTTTTTCTAATATTATTTGAAAGATCAAATTTTTTCTTACAGTATTTTAAATTATTGTTATTCAACCATTATAACTAAATTTATTCAATGGTCTAATTTACGTTATATACAATAATATATAAATATATGAAATATAATATTACATACATATTTATATAATATTACATAATATATAAAATAAATACAAGCTGGAAGCATATAAAAATGTCCTGAATAACATGTGTTTGAAGTATTGCAGATAAACTCGTTCAAAAACATGTAATTATTATTAAAACTACTTATAATAAGATGATAATTAAGATTTTACTTATTGTGGGTCTAATTTTTTGAACTGTTATTATATAGTGTCTCTTATTATCATTTGTGATGATCATATTTCTATCACTATACATGTATTCCTGTTACAGTTATGAGTCTTTCACCTTCCTCAGATACATATAATTAATTAATTGCAAATATTAGCGTCCCCCCGCATTCACAACCCTCGGTACATCGGAGGGGGGGGGCGCAAGAAATCGCGTGGGCGACAACAGAAATAAATCGAGGGTGATTTTCCCCATCCTACCCTATCCACTGACCTTTTCCAAGAACCAATAAAAGGAGAGATGCGCGCGCTCCGGTTAACGAAGACAAAATCCGGCACAAAGCGCTTATCCGGCGCGCGAGTAAGGAGCGGTTGAAAAAGACTTCCCGGACGATACGAAACCGGACGCTGTGCTCCACACACACACACACACTCACTCTCTTGGATTGTTGTTATTTCTCACTCACCCACCCCTCCACGCACCATCCACGTCCGGCAAAAAAAAAATATTAATTCCCGGATTATTTTTGCAGAATACTATTGTAATTACTATACATATTTTATTCCCATTTACATAAAACGATGACTTTCCTAAATGTGCTATCAGCTTCCTTAGTGGTCTTAATGACGGTTCCGGTTTCGTCCGGCCTGTACGAAGACACCGCTAAGATAATCCGGAAACCTCATAATAATCTGTTTTTGGCTATAAAACCCTCAACACAGATATTTCCCAAAAGGCCGCTGGAGGTGCAGAGTTCGAACCCCGCCGCGGCAGATGAGAACACCTACCGCATACCGTGGGGAGTAGAGATGTTGCCCCGGCGTCAGAGTAGGGGGCGGAGAATGAAAAAAATGCAGAATGCCGCGGATCATATTCCTCCAAAGCAAAGTGTCAAGAGTTCGATTCCGCTAGATCCGGATCCAACATCACCTCGGGAACCCAGAGGACGAGACAACAACCGTTACGATGTGCCCTTGATTGGTGAGTACTGCAAATTAATATATATTACTGAGTATTCATTATTAGACCTTAATTATCAGGCATTATTATTTTTACGAGACTGGTGTTTACGTTCGTGTTAAATGAGACGACACATAATATAAATTAGACGATATATTGGATAAATATAGAATATCTAATGACATCAGATATTCTATTAGTATATTATAATAATTAGACTCACTGTAGTTTTCAAATAATGACATGTTTTGCACGAGTTTATATGCAATATACTTTTATATTTAAACATGCATGTAATGGACTTTTATTTAGGATATTTTTTATATACTTCCTATTTGCATAAATATATTATTTTTTAAACGTATTGCAATGTATAAAAGTAACGAATTGATACACGCCCAAGTACAAACCGGTTTCAGCCGAGTAAAAACAGTAATGCTGTATAGCATCACCTGACAATTAAGATTTTACATAGAGTGCGTCGAATAGTATGGAATGTTATACCTTATTAAACAATTGAATCTATTATATACAGAAGTTTTCTCAATAATGACTTTTGATGGATATTTCCTTGTGAAAAAAAATTAAAACGAAATTTACTCATAAGAATTAACAAATAAAGTCAGAAAAGAAAATGCCTCTGAAAGTGTAAAAACACTATGGGGGAAGGCGGCTCTAGAACGCTAAAAACATGTTTCAAGTTTCGATAGTGTTCCTGAAAATAGCATAGATGAAAACAAAAGAATTTTCTGCTGGTCTAAATAAAGTGTTAATAACTTATCCTAAAAACTGTTAGAATTTAAATATCAAAAAAATGAAAAATTCATTTGAAAAAAAAAAATAGATATTTTCGTGTTCGAAGAATGTAATAAAAATAATAATCAAGGTTCTTTCTGCCCTGATTTTGTAAAGATGAGAAAATAAAATGCTATTTTTGTGAAAAATCTTTTGGCGAAATCCTGAACCTAAAATTTACATAGAATCAAGGTTCTTTCTGTCCTGTTTTTGTAAATGTAAGAAAATAAAATGCTATTTTCGTGAAAAACCTTTTGGCGAAATGCTGAACCTAAAATTAGCGTAGAATCAAGTTTCTTTCTGTCCTGTTTTTGTAAATGTAAGAAAATAAAATGCTATTTTTGTGAAAAATCTTTTGGCGAAATCCTGAATTTAAACCTAGTGTAGAATCAAGGTTTTCCCAGGGTCCCGTTTTTTAAATGTATAAAAATAAAAACCGGTTTTTAGGAAACCTCTGTATTTCAAGGAGTTATTTTAAAATTGTCCTATAATGCCGTAATCGACACCATTTTCCAAACGTAAAATTTTGTAGCTGGTCGATTTCTTAAAAAATTGTGAAAGGTGCATTTTTTAAATAAATTGTTTTGCGAATGGACCGTTTTAATGTTAAATAGTTTCGTTTGAAATAATTTGTGAAGTTTCGTTCGTATTATAAAATAGTTTGAACATGTCTTTTACTCTAAAATAATTTGTAAAGTCAAATAATTTTTGAAGGGTACAGTTTTGAAGTTTTCATAGAAGAGTTCAGAAGAACTTATGAAGAGTTCGTTTTTACGGCAAAATAATTAGTGAAGTTTTTACAATAAAGTAGTTTGTTTAAGGTCTATTATTATAAAAAAATTTTCACAGTGAAATTATTTCTTCTTCTCATTGGCACGACTGCCCAGGATGGGCCTTGGCCTTCTCAACAAGCCTATGCCAAGAAATTCTTCCCTTAGCCAAGGTTCTCCAGTTTATTATCTTTATAACTAGTAGGTCCTTTTCAAGGCAGTCTAAAAATCTTAAGTTTGACCGTCCTCTTTTTCTTGTACCTGTTGGCCTGGCACTGAAAACTTTTTTGGTTGTCCTGCTATCCTCCATTCTTATAATGTGGCCTGCCCATTTAATCCTTCGAATTTTGATAAATTTAATGACATCAGGTTCTGTATATGCTTTGTAAAGTTCCGTGTGTGATCTTCTAAACCAGGTACCGTTTTTACTTATTCCACCAAAAATGCTTCGTAGTATTTTTCTTTCAAATCTAGCTATCATATTTTCATCTCCACAGGTCATTGTCCAGGTCTCACATGCGTATGTAAGCACTGATCGAATAAGACAATTATAGAGTAGTACTTTTGTTTTTCTTTTTATTAGGCTTGACTTAAGATATTTTCTTAGACCATAAAAACACTTTTTGGCCATCGTGATTCTCGTGTGTATTTCTAGTGTAGTGTCGTTTTTGTTGTTAATCTTTGACCCCAAATAGGTGAAGCTATCAACGGAGTAAAATTACTTAGGTTTATTTTTACGGTTAAATAATTTTTAAAGTTCTTCACAATGAAATAATACATGTGATTTGAAAAACTTGTTCATTAACAGGGAAAAGAATATTTATCCGAGACTTTTTTGTGATTTTTCTCACTGCGTCGTTTGATAAAAAACATTATTTATTTACTTTAACAAGTCTTCAAATGTTTGTAAAATTATTTATTTTATATCAGATGATTTGCCTTGATAAACAGCTATTCTGTAAAAATGTTTATCTAAATATTATTTCAATTTTTGCGAGTGGGTAAAAAAGAAGATTTTGAAAATATGTTTACTCTATTTATTATTAATTTAAAATATATAAACATTATGAACTGCTTATGGAATTACAAATGACATTCAAAATGTACTACTATGTTTTATTTTATATATATATATATATATACTATCTACCAATAAGTATTTGGACTATATTTGCGATCCTGAGATACGTCCGCCGGTATATATCGTGTAGGGAAGAACATCTCGGCATTCGAAAAAGGTATAATTATCGGGCATCACAAAAATCCTTACAGGGCTAGCGAGCTGAATTACTGTGGCTTGAGTGTCGGAAGACCCTGGGAGATTGAGACAGCCGATACTCCAGGAGTTTCAACAGGCATCCGGGAGTGCTGTTTCAATTAATACCATCAGCACATCTGCTTGGTTATCATGGTCGTGCTGCTGCTGTCCATAAGCCTTTCATCAACCGCACTGCTCGGTTAATGTGGTGCAAAGTATATCGGAACGTTGATTAGTGGAAAGCGGTTCTTTGGAGTGACGAATCAAGATTCACTCTCTACGGTTCGGATGGCAGGGTCTGGCCTATGTCTGGAGAACGTCTCCTGCCAGAATGCATTGCGCGAACAGTCAAGTTCGATGGAGGTGGAATTATGGTCTGGGGGTGTTTCTTTTGGTATGGATTGGGACCCTTGGTTCCCATTCATGGTAAGCTCAACGCCGATGCCTACTGCACTATTTTGGATGACAATGCGCTTTCTACGTTGTGGCAGTTGTACGGGGTGGACCTTTCAGAACGAGATCCTCTGGGATGAGTTGGATTGCCGAATTAAGGGGTGTTCTACCCGTCCAAAATCGGTGAAGGAACTTACATGTCTTCTCCAAGCCGAGTGGAAGAAAATACCACCAGCAGTCACACAAGCATTTGGGGAAAGTATGCCCCAGAGGGTTCACGCTGTAATTGCCTCTTGTGGAGGCTCTACCAACTATTCATTTTGAATAAAGTTTGTTTTTCTTTTCAATCACACGTGTCCAAATACTTATCGGTAGATAATAATTTGGTAGGTAAGTACACCAATAGATAATAACACCAGATTGGTAGATAATAACACCAATAGTCCCGCAGTGGACTGATCGTTAAGACACGGTTCCCAGCAGATCACCGAAGTCAAGCATCACTGGCTACGGTCAGTGTGCGGGTGGGTGACCACTTGGATCAGTCTGCGTAGGGACCGAGGGTGTGCGGTATTGGTCCTCGTTAAACTGAGCTACCGTAAAGTGCTCGACTTCGCGTGCAGGTCGTTGGGCTACCGAAGCGGGATCATCCTCAGGGATGCTTCCCAGACCGTCGCCAATAGCCCATTGTGCAGCACTAGTGCGACGCAAATTAACAACAACAATAACACCAATAATTGAAATGACAGTGTAAGGCACCAATGTTTAAAATTTCTATAGTTGTTTGAGAAAAGATCAAAGATGAATATAAGTAATTACTTCGTCATTATTTCTGCAAGAATGCAGAATTATAATAAGTGAATAATTATAAAAAAAAAAAATTAACTGCTTGAATCGTCACGTAAGACAACCTTACAATCTAAATAAATACTTAATTAATTTTGAAATGGTTGGAAACTGTTTAATTTAACCAATGAGAATTTTGAAATGATTCTCATGAACGGTTGTTATAAGAGAGAGAGAGTTTCATTTCGATAACAAGTAATATAACATTTATTTTTAGTTACTTTTTGATTAAATATTAATGAATGAATTAATATTTGAAACATCAAGTTTAGAAAAAATGTATTTGAATAAAAAGTATTTTATTTAAACAAGATATGTAAATATATGTAGGGAGGATGTGAAATAATAGTAGGAATTGAAAAAGTGCGTGGTACCAGAAAACTGTAAGAGTATAAATCAGGTGATGTGGACCACGCAATGTTCTTTATTAAATTTATCAGACACAGTGAACATAAAATAATTAAATATTTAAATGTGCGCAAGAAACTATTTTCTAATTCAAAGAGAGCTATAAGTTAGAAATTATCACCGATGTTATTTATAAAAAATGTGAAAAACTGAATCGCTAATAGTAAAATTTAAAACAATGACTAACGCTTAACCCATCGGAAATTCCCATTTCGTTTTTTGCTCATTCCCATTTAGTAAATGGATTAATATTTGAAAAGTGCAAGTTTAAAAAAAAAAATGTATTTGAAGTTGAGTGGATGAAATTAAAAGTATTTTATAAACGATTTCAAATTTGAACAAGGTGCAGGGAGAGTGTGACACTAATAGTTGTATAAATGGCACCTTAAAATAAACAAGAGAAAATTAAGATAATCTTAAATGCTGATTTATTACCTAAATTTAATCTGATCTCATTTTTAGGGTAAGTTCTAGAAATTTAGGGTGATTCTAGAAATTAAAAATAGAACCTGGCAAATGTTACATAATATACTAAATTTCGACATTAAGAA